ACAACCAGGCACTTGGAGAAGCCCTTTGCATGCTAGTGTAGTTTTGCTAGACTTTGTCATTTTGTACTAATGTTTTGTGGGCTGAAGTCGATTTGTATCTAATGTTTGTTATATGCCCAACCTCTGGGCTGGACTTGTAAATGTGTATATAACTTAATCTCAGATGCATGTTCACTAGATGTTTAATTCCGAGTCGTGGTCCTGGCATATTTGTAGTAGCTCAATGGATGTGTCTGCATGTTATTCTATTATGTTAACGCTTCCGTTCAGGCCCCGGATAGTTTTATATAGCAGGACAAGTGTCTGTTTCTGGGTAGGTCATGCCCAAAATTTTAGGGGCAAGTTTGGGATGTAACAAGCTCGGTCAGAGCGCTCCGGTTGTGGGCTCGGTGGTGTGGTCTGGGAAAGGATGGTTTCATCTTCATCGACAAGGCGTGGCTCGGTTATGGAAGTCCGAGCACGCTTGTTTGGCCGAGATGATGACGGCTGAGAAGTGGGAAGTGCTACCACGGCCTCGTTTGTCTGGCCTGCTTGTGGTATCTCGGCCTGGTTTGTTTCGGTGATAAGAGCTCTTACTGCTTTCTTTTTGGCCATCTCTTGTTCTATAGTCAATGGGATAAGATTGATTTGTGGGAGGATTGGATCAGGTTCATGAGAGGGTTCCAAGAGGAAGTCTGTCACCCTGGTCTTCCTCTTGCTGCAAGATTTGTAGGTCGGCTCAAAGTTAAGTAGCTCGGCCCAACCACGATCGGGATGTCTTAGTGCGGCGCAGAGTGCGCCAAGGTTGGGGTAATTGTACTACGACTTTAGAAGGTTCAAATCTGCATAAAGAAAAAAAAAAAGACAATGGTTAGTGCGGTTCAAAACTTACAAACGGAGTAAAAAATGCACAAAATGGAGTCCTAGCTTGGCTAAGCGGAACGAGGGGTTCGTAGACCGGTTGAAGCTTAGCATGCAGCATTCTTAGTTCGGTTTTTATTAAGTGAGAGAGGTGGTTTGGGGCCAAGTGGTAGCCCGGTCTTTGGTTAAGGTTTTCTAGTTCGGTAGTACGCACGCCCAATACAGTTCCTTAGTAAGGCTAAGTGAAACTGAAGGGAAGACCTATTGGAACTTAATCTAGTTCAGCTGGGTGCACACCTTAAGTACAAACAGGTTCCTAGCTCGATTGGAATTCTATTTTGGATTAAACGCGTCGTTCTTCAGATTGTTCATGAATACAGTGGTTCTATTACGTAGTTCTTTCCCAGAGAAATGGAAGCAAAAAAGGTATATGTGTTTTGAAAAGCATACGAGTATTATGCTACGTACTACAAAAACTAGACAAAACAAAAGGGAAATGGATTGAATTACTTACAGTTTGAAGTTGAGAGGATAAAGATAGAGATCGTAAGGAAGAGCTTTGCAGACGCAGTGATGAGGAAGAATGAAAGCTCAGAAAGTAAAGAGAGAAGAAGATGAATAGTGATAAGTTGGTTCGAAAAATAGGGTTTTGTTTTGTGTAAAGAGAGTGGAAAAGACAGGACTGTTCAAAATTCGCGAGGTACGAAGTCGGCGTTGGCAGCTGTACTCAACCAGTAGGGGCCTGCCACGTGTCTATGGAATAGCAAGCGGTTCAGATGACAGCGTGACTGAAGAGATGTTTTTAACCGAACCAATCGATAGCCCAGCGGCATTTTGTCTCGGTTGAAAGGATGAAAGTTTTAGCTCGGCTGGAAATATGTAATCCCAATCATGCTACGTAGATGGAATTAAGGGGCAATCGAGAGGGAAGTTTTTATGTGCACTAGGGCCGAGCTAGGCCAAGGTGCGGTAATGGGCCGTTCTGTGGGCCGCGGTAAAAAGTGCCCAATAAAAGGATCCTGCGGTTAGCTCGGTCCAATTGTGGTTGTGGTTACCACGGACGATATGGTAATATTAGCTCGGTCAAAGTTTACTGCGGTTAGTTCGGTCTCAGCGGACTAAATCGAGGTACGAGTAATGAAGAACTGAGCTAGTCGGAGTTCGGACATTTCTGCCGCTTTAGCATAGGCCATGTTAGCTCGGTCGTTTTGTCATACTACCGAGGTAAAACCATCTCACTTGGTTTAAGCAGTAAGGGGAGTGTTGAAGGATAAGCATTATCTTTCAGGAGTGTGAATCCTAAAAGGACTCTACATAGAGGAATAAGAGTCCTACTAGGATTGTGCCACACGGAACCTATAAAAGTTCACAACATCACTTATGGAGAGATAACACAACTTTGATTCTCGAATACACAGAGCTTTTGCCTATTTGTCTATTTTGCTAACTTAGGCATCGGAGGGGTATCCGGCACACACCCGCCGGCTAGCTCACGTTTGTGTTTTCAAGGAGTAAAGCGACGACGTACGGAGGAGCGCAGACTTGATCAACAGGATTATACGAGAAGAATATTTTTCGCTTGTACAATTTATAAAACATAACTTGTATAAAATAAATTATGGTAAGTCAAAACATAAGTAAAATATATTATGGTGACTCAAGGTATAATAAAACCCACCTTAAAATTAATATCTCACTCTTTCTTTCCACTACCAAAGATCTTCTTCACTTCTAATATTTTCTTCCCCTTTCTTTCCTTGAGTTTTCCTTTCTTTCCCTTTCTTTTTTTTCCTTTTTCCTTCATTCCTTCCTTCCTTCATTTCTTTCTTTCTTTCTTTCTTTCTTTCTTTCTTTCTTTTCCACAGATCACCTCCTCCCCATTTATAAGGAGGTAAGAGCATACGTTGCCCGGGTATCCTCCCACAGATTCGTCCATAAATTATATGGATTGATATTTATCTTTAATAAATATTTAAGATAATTATACTTTGGCCCAATTTTCTAATATAACTATATAAATAAATTAATCCCTAATTAAATTACACTCTATCGTATACCAACAGAAATTTAATTATTTATTTTACTACCACACCCATTATTATTATTATTATTATTATTATTATTATTATTGTTATCAATATTATTATTTATTTACTCTTACTTTTATATTTATTTATTTACTATTTTTAACTTTAATTTGGCCCAACTAGTATTATAATTCCATATTTATATTAATTTGGCCCCAAATAATAATCCCTAATTAATCCCATATTTGATAATCCAATGTCAAATTAGATTCTATATTTATTATTATTTATTTAATAATATATTATCACATATTTAAGGGACAACTTAAATTTTCAGGTTGTTACAAGCTTCGTGCATGAGTTCATCCATCTATACAAAAGGAAAAAAAAAACAATGTCAGGTAAATTTTTATGAAAATATTTGCACATCACTCGGATTGTAAAATTGGACAAAAATTCAAAAAAGTACATGAAAAATAAAAATAACATGAACAAATTAAACGACTATCAATACCATTTTGTAAATAAAACAACATTCATATGTGTACATCCAATCAACATTAAAATTCTATCAATATCAATGCATCACACTCAAAAAAATTCCACGAGTAATGGATGTATGACCCGCAAATTAAATTCTATCAATATAATAATTGAAATAATAACTGGACAACATAAGTGAATTAAAATAATAACTTTAATCTATATATATAATAATTGAAATAATTCTAACAACTGAAATAGATGTTATCAATCAATGCTTGCATTTGAATTTTATACCTCATATTGCAATAACTGGACAACATAAGTGAATTGTTGATCTAGCAAGTTAGCTACTATGACCAGCAGGTTATAGCACTTGTGACATTTAAATCTCTAACTATGCGTCCTATCAATGTGCTGCTTCCTCTCACAAGTTTGTTTAATCTAGGCCGAGATGACCATTATGATCTCGGTGTTGTTTGGGGGCTGTTTTCAATTTTTGCCCCCAAACGGGTTTTTTTTTTGCATTTTTCTCACATTTTCTTGTCCAAATCTGTAACAGTACGTCCTATCAACGCACCACTTGCTCTCACAAGTTTGTTTAATCGAGGACAAGGTTACCGTTATGATCTCGGGGCTATTTGGGACCTGTTTTTAATTTTCATCCCCAAATCGCCCATTTTCGCTTTTTGCTCACATTTTGTTGTCTAAATCTCTAACCGCGCGTCCTATCGATACAATGCTTGCTCTCACAAGTTTGTTTAATCTACTCTGAGATGACCGTTATAAACTCAGAGCTGTTTGAGGGCTGTTTCCAATTTTCGCCCCCCCTAAACGGCCCATTTTCGCCTTTTTCTCTCACATTTTTGTGTCCAAATCTCTAACCGTGTGTTCTATCGACGCGCCGCTTGCTCTCACAAGTTTGTTTAATCTAGTCCGAGGTAACCGTGATGATATCGGGGCTATTTCCAATTTTCGCCCCCAAATGCCATCCTTCAAAATAAAGACCAAACCAAACTAGAAGTGATCAAACCAATCTTAAGAATACTATGATTTCAAGAAAATGCAATCCCTAAACAAAAACAACAAATCTGAGAGTTGAAGTACTTGTAATTTGAAGGATTATAATATTGTATCAAAAAAATAAGAATAATGATATGTGCATTTTCTTGTATCTTTTACTTGTCTCTTTGCTTTTAAAATCAACAAAAATACTGCCACTATTTTCTAGACTTCCAAAAAATAAAGACATAAAGGGTGTCTCAAATTTCATTTGACCAGAAAATTTCTAGAGTGGGAAAGCTCAGAAATATTCTCACAAGTATAGAAATCTTCAGCTTTGTAACTTCTAGGTGTTTTCGTATCTTTAACAGTCATTAGAATTTGCTTCATTGCAAATAATGATATAAATAACACAGATTAATGACAATCATCAGTTGAATTCAAAATATCACCCTCTTTGATCAATTTAGATTTCCAGAATCTAAGGAAAGTAAGGCATTCTAAATTTGAGGAAAGCAAGGAGTTTTGAGACATTTTAGGATTCAAAAGTATCTTTTCTTTGTGTTTATTTTTGTCAAACTAAATTTTATTTTATTTTTAAAATTTTCACAATACAAGTTCTGAAAATTCAACAAACAGACCCACAAATTTTGACAAGAAGTCTAGTGCTATAATGTGCTCAACTCATGCACATGCAGCATTCCTCCGTGACATTTATTATTTGATGAATAAATACCTGGATAATGATCAGGCCAATGAGGACTGGTTGTGTGTCATCCCCAAAACTCTGAAATAGATCCTTCTAGTTCCTCACAAGAGTGTATCCTCCAAATTGCAAGAATGTGAGAATCTGCAATGGGGTACAAGAATAAGACAAAGTCCGAACTCAAGAAAGCTCCATCTCAAAGCTAACAACAATTAAAGGCATCATCAGTAGAAAAAAACCACAAGCTACCCGAAATGCAAATTCAAATTTTGACAGTCTCACATATGTCAATGTTTAGTAAGAGCAATAAAAGATCAAATAAGATAAAAAATAATTAAAATAAATAATAATAGGAAAGAATTGTCTTTTTTAACAGAAAGATAACATATTAAAGAAAAAACTGATTAGTAATCAACATGCATCTCATACCACCAAACATGTTTCTTATGATGAAAAAATTCTCATACAAATTGTTTGCTTGAATTGCTTTTACCAACCCAATTTTACACAGGTCAAAAACGGGATATATCTTGTTGGGAAAATTATCTAGCAGCTTAAGTTATTGGGCAACCATTTTTAATGGTATTAGCATTAAGGATATCGAAATTCAAGAGGCAAAACCCAAAGATAACTCTTAAATAACAATAACTTAATATAATAAAATTGGATCCATGAGCATACGAGAAAAAAATGAAAAGTAAAAGGATTCCCCTGTGTCTGAATCCTTCAAACTTATTAGTGGCAATCTTCAATGTTTTTTAGGCTAGCAAAGTCGGCAACTTGATGGCCTCTATCTGAATATTTTCTACCATATCTCTATTCAGATAAAATAAATTATAAACCATAATGTAAAAATTGGTGGAATGCATACTACTAAACTCAAAGAACTATTTTTAAATAAGAAACATTAAAAGAGCATCAAAAGGAAATCTTGCCACGGACCCAAGACCTTTTTGTCCCACAAATGTAATTGCTAGAATATTATTATTAGTATTTAGTTAGATTTAGTTACATAAGTACTAGTAAAAGGTATTGATTCTGTTTCCAAATAATATTTGGCCTATATATTTAGACTTTTGGCATTATAATTTTCAACTTTTGAACTAATAATATTGATTGTATTTTAGGCTATGGCCATTTGTGAGTTTTCTTCCTTTTCTCCCTATTATCTTCTTTGCAATTCTGACATTCCAAGATGGGTCTAGTTAGTAAAGTTAATAAATCTATGACAGCAACAACCACTACCTATGCATTTCTATTAGTGTAACAACATAACAAATCATTTTGAAACATTCATTTGCATAATAACAGTTATAGCATACCTGAATAGCAATGAAAGAGTACATTGTATGATTAAGTTTCCAGTGACCCAGTTCATGGAACAAAAATTTGGGAACAAATCTAAAACAATGGGCCAAAATGATGACCGGTTTTGTTGTACGTCTTTTCACTCATTGTCTTCATTGGGTTCATTGTGTTCGGAAGTTTTTCACAAATTCCTGTCTTTGTTTATTTCGAGTTGAGTGTCACTTGTTTCGGAGGGTGCACGGTTGAGTCGGAGTGTCTAGAATCGAACTGGAAAATTCTAGGCTGGAGGACCAGGGCCGCACGTGAGGGAGATGAAGTCGTACGTGGCATTGCACACTGCATTATATGTAGGTGTTGAGGGGTGCGGAGGCATGTACGCGGGAAAAGTGCCGCATGTGCGGAGATCAATGCCGCACGTGCAGGAAGTAGGCTCCGCACATGCGGGGGCAAGTGCCACACGTGCAGAATGGGCTGAGTCCGAAAACTTTGTTTTTTTTTTCTTCTCTTTTTGGCTGAGTGTGTATCACTTTTTAACCTCCCTTCTCACTCTAAAAATACTTTTGCTCCTCCTTCTCTCTAAAACTCTTATCAAACACTAAAAACCCTTGATTTTTTGCAATCCATTGGGTCTAGATCCATAATTTCTCCCAAGTTTTGGAGAACAAAGCAAGAGCTTCATTTTGTACGGTGGAGATCAAATTTCTTCGCCTTTTGATTCTAGGGTTTCATCAAATCTCTTGATCAAGCTTGAGGTAGGGACTTCTTTGAGTTATATATACATGTTTATGCAAGGTTGATGTTGATTTTGAAGTTTTCTTAAAGATGTTATAAAAGTTTTGGTCACTGGCTCAAGAAATTAGTGGCTTGCAAAAGAAATTCATCTCTTGTTTCTTTGAAAGATTTTCTTGAATAGTTGAAGCACATTGGCACAAAAATGATATTTTTGGTGAGATTTTACCAAGAAATAAAGAAATGTATTGTTTGGGTGAAAAACCTAGAAATTTGGAGGTTTTGGTGGATGTTGAGAAATTATGACTTTACTTGTGTTAAATGAATGTTCAAATGGAAATTTCATGACATTGGATACAAAATGTCAAACTTCTTAGTATATGCAAAATTAGTAAATTTCCTTGGAATCTATTGTTTATGTAGATATATATATATATATATAAATCTTGAAATGACAATATGTTGAGACCATATGAGATGTGAAAATGTTGCAACACTTGGATAGATGTAAAAGTTCATGTGTTATATATGTTAAATGTATTGGGAAAAAGAAGTAGAAATTGCGAACGGAAATGGAACATTTGTGGGGAAATTCTATAAATGGTAAGATGATACATCGCATGGGTAATCACCACATGGCATGGTTAATTATTGCATTGCATGGATAACTGTGGCATCAACATTTCAATATATTGCTTGTTATAAATATTAAATTAGGATTTGAAACTTGCATTGAGAAAGAATTGTTGAGAAATGAGAACTATTGAAATGTTTTGGAGTAAATACGTTGGTAAGTCCGGATAGGAGGTGTAGGTGGAATTGATTAAGTTGGCCAGAGTATTTAGGGTGAAAGACCGAAAATACGCGCGGAGGAGGTACCACTTCCCTTCCGGTTAGCAACCGGTAAAGTGGGGTTTTTGGTAGTGCTAGTTATGCCTACTTGCAGACACCAACCTAGGGATTACCTGAGTCGTATTTACTGCCCCAATGAATCAATCGTAAATTTTTGAATTGTAGAGAATTTCCTGTTATCATTGTTGTGTGAGTGATTTTCTGACCACACTGCCCGCTTAGTAACCAGCTGGAGAGTACTGGCAGAATAGATGGCACCTGGCTGACCTACAACAAAAAGAGAAGATTCCGGCGGTGGTTCGTCCACCCGGGGGCACTCCGACGATCAAGTCAGTATATCTCTCAAAGATAAATCAAGTGCTAAACTCACAAGCTTGAGTATCAAAAGCATACCTTAGACCCATGGGGGTGCCTCTCTTTTATAACCAACATAAATCTAGTCCTAATAGAAGCCTAACTTCTATGGACTCAGGATTATTGCTAATCTTGGACTCCCAGTAAGATTAGGATAAACTCTCTAGGAGTCTTATTTTAATACAAACTGAAGTCTTCTCTCATTCTAGGACTCTTGCCCCTTATCCGCTTATCTCGGATTCCGATATCTTCGGAGGTAACCCCGGCCTATCCGAGATGACCTCGGCATAACAACCAGGACATATGGCACCTCGGCTGACACGTCGGCGTCACCTTGGCTACGTGTTAGTGCTCAGAAAATATATCCCCACAACTGCCCCCTAGGTTCTATTACCTCGACATTCTGAGGTGATGGAACCTACACTGTTCGTTCATCTGTGCCCCTCTATCCGAGATCAAACTCGCCGACCTCAAAGTTCCCTGGACTTTACTGTCCACTTCTGTCAAGTATCAAGCTTCATGCTTTCCAAACTGCTTGAGATCACACCTCCTAGCCGAGGTTCTTGTTCCACTAATTCGTAAACTCCAAGAGCTTTGCAACTACTCCACTCACATTCTTCGGTAGGTTCCCGACTTCCAGTCATCTATTTGACTCCGGCGATCTTCATATCGGCGTTCATTTCTCTTGGTAGGTTCCTAAACTCTTTTATTAAGCTCAATCTTTCATAACTCTTCTGAATCCGTTTACTTGCCCTCTGTTGTCTTCTATTTTCGTTTGTTTTCAAGTTTTGAATTGTTTGAACGCCTGGCACTACTATTGCCATATCCGCTTTCTGTTGCTAGAATCGTGTCTGGATCATTACTTTCTTGTTCTTCGCATACTTACTTAGTACCTGTGCACTTGGCTTTATTCTTGAACTTTGTCGTCTTCTTGACTCTGATTTTTCTCTTTTTTCATTCAATCCTCTGGCTTTTTCTCTTTCTAGCTCTTTTGCTTAAATCCGTCATTGTTCCAAGCTTTCAAGCTTCTGCAACTGTCTTGTTCCTCTCCATCAAATTCTGAAACTCCGTGGTTTTTCGGTCTCGGACGCTGAGGGGAAAATGTTTGTTGTAGAATAACTCTAGGAATCTGGCCCAAGTCAAACTCGGATTACTTTCTCGAACCATCATCCACCACCTGCGGGCGTCGTCGTCTAACGTGAACGCTGCCAGAGATACCTTCTGAGCGTCTGTACTGGGGAAAATTTCAAACAGCTTCTCCATTTCTAAAACCCACGCCTCGGCTTTCATTGGTTCTATGCCCCCTTGGAATCTTGGCGGTTTCATTTTCTTGAACTCTCTGATCAGGGTTATCGTGTCGTTCCCATACAAAGCTTGCTGCGGAGGCACTTGTGGCACTGGAACTTGTTGACATTTAATCTCTAACTATCGTCCTAATCAATTGTCGCTGCTTCCTCTCACAAGTTTGGTTTAATCTAAGGGCCGAGATGACCATTATGATTCGGTGTTGTTTGGGGGCTTTTTCAATTGTTGCCCCCCAAAACTGGGTTTTTTTTTGCATTTTTTTCTCACATTTTCTTGTTCCAATCTGTAACAGTACGTCCTATTCAACGCACCGCTTGCATCTCACAAGTCTTGTTAATCGAGGACAAGGTTACCGATGATCTCGGGGCTAGTTGGGACCTGTTTTTAATGTCGCCCCCAAAATCGCCCCGTTTTTTTCGCTTTTTTGTCCATTTTGTGTCTAAATCTCTAACGCGCGTCCTATCGATACAAATGCTTGCCTCTCAAAAGTTTGTTTAATCTACTACTGAGATGACGTATAAACTTCAGAACTGTTTGAGGGCTGATTTCATTTTCACCCCCTAAACGGGCCCATTTTCGCCTTTTCTCTTCACATT